TGATTCAACTGATCACATGAGGATTTGAGCTCTGGTCTGCATATCAACAGTTCATCGGTGTACCATTCAGCCACATGGGATGAGATGGGTGTTAATGAACACAGTACAATTTCGGATGAAGAATGAAGTTCAGTGAAGTTGGGCGAAAAAGTTAAAACTCAACCCGAATTTCGGCACAGAAACAAACTCCTCAGGTTTGCATTTGATTCAAGAACACAGAGCGTGGTGTTTATAACTGCCTAGGCTCTCTCTATGACTGCCTGATTTGCACAGTATTGCTGCTACCTTGTTCCGCGTGATAAAGTCCACTCCTCCTGTCTTCTCTGTGGCTGGTCCGACTCCTGATACAGCCCCTGATAAAATGAATCAGCGGCGGGGGGCCTCTGAAGGGGGGCCCGCGGCCTCTAGCTGGCATGCAAGGGAGATGGTTAACGGGGGGGCAAATATTCGTCGTTTTCGCCGGCAATTTCGGTGCGAAATTCATCGAAATTTTCAAAAACAAACGATATGGGCCCATTGCGCAAACACGAAAAAAAAGAAACAGGCCAAAGACAACGAAAAAACAACAAAAAAAACTCTAAAAAACCCTAACACAAAAACACTGTCCAAGTTAAAATAAAGCGTCCAACGAATTCGGAAAAACTACCGTCTGGCCGCGACGCGCCGTTGGGTTAGCGCGCACCCGAGCGCTAACACTTCGTCGTCAATTCCCACGTTGACGCTTGGGGGTCAGGTGGGCACCATCGCGGGTGTGCTCACACGCCCCAGCGCCCACGCAGGGAGGCGAACACGTTAGCAGGGCCAAGGAGGGGGTGTTGCGAGACGAACCGAGATAGTGTGAGACGAGGCAGGCAACGGACACGTGCATACCATCGGGGGACAGGGAGACAAGAGAAAGGAGTAAAGGGACGTGCGTACAGGGAGGCGAGTGGGAGAAGGAAGGTCCAACAAGGTTATCGGCGTGGTGGAAGCAGCAAAAACAGCGGTAAAAGGGCAAGGGTGAGGGAGACGAGATAGAATCGAAGAGGATAGGGGGCTTGAAAAAGTGACACGGGGAGGGGAGCGTTGCAAAACGAGCGGGGCTAGCGCAAGACGAGGCAGGCAACAAACACGTTGCGAAGGACGAGGTACTTGCTTGGAGGGAGGCGCGGGGAGAAGGAAGGATAAGCTTCACCGTGCAGTGGAAGCAGCAAAAACAACGGTCGAAAGGTAAGGGTGAGGGAGACGGGATAGAAGTGAATAAGATAGGGGCGTGAATAAGAGACATAAGCTCGGGGGGTTCGGAGTAGTGCGGGGGATTGAAAAAAAGGGATCGATGAGGCCAGAAGCCCAATCACGCGCGAACAGGAAAGGAAGGACTAAAGACAGAGATCGGACCAGCAGAGGAAAAAGAAAACAAAAAAGGAAAAGGGTAACGGGAAGAGCGGGGAAGGGAGCTATGCCACAGGGATCCATGGCACACTCTTACATACAAGCAGCACAGAAGGGAATGACCGAGGATGACAAGAGGAAGGCGGTCCAAGCAGCACGGGAACCACGAGAGAACAACTCCTCCCAAGGCACCTCAATTTCGAGGGGGGTCTCGAGTCAACCCAGGGCGCTAGGTCAGCGGGCGATCGGCTTTTTGATCGAGAAAACAAAAATAACTGCCCGAATCAGGATTACGAAGGAAACCCACAAAGGACATGATGGTAAGGAGGAAGAAGTGGACGTGAGGGAGTATCCGGAGCAAAATATTCCTTCATTGCACGAACTCTACGAACGCCACGCAATGCTGTTTAACTTCGCAAGTAAAAGCAGGGATCTGTCGTTGAATGAGAAGAGGCGTTCGGTGATGGAGCCTTTGAGAGGGCTAGAGAGCATTCCGGGAGTGGAACCGGAGGTGTCATATCACAAGCGGGGGAAGTTCACCGTTATGATTGTTTGTGTAGACCCCTCATATGCTCAATACCTCATGTCCTTGGGGTCACTGAAGTGCCAGGGAAGGATCGTTACAATTCAAGCATGGAAGCCCCCAAGACCCCCGCAAGCGAAAGCTTCTCAACACAGGCAGACGATGATGAAGGAGCATTTATGGGTTCAATTTGACAATCTTTCGAAGGGCATGCACAACTTTGTCCAGAAGAGATTGTCGGAGGAATACCCGAACAACTCCATCATTGATTAGTTGTCGGCGAATCCTGACTTTCTAGCTCCAAATCACGATTCAAGGGTTGCCTGCCTGGAGGTGAGTTCCTGAGCACCGCCCAAGTTTCCAAAGGTTTGGATCTTTCGCAAAAATGGGCAGAGGATCACGATTTTTGTCTCGACGAAGACTAATCCTTTCTGTTTCAAGTGTCGTGGAAGGGGCCATCTGGGCATGCACTACCTAAAGTCGAAGGCGGGGAGTAAACCAATACAGCTGCATCAGTCGATGCTAGAGGAGTCGAACAATAAGTCGGGGATATGGTACATTAATGCAGCGCAGTACCGAGGATGGATTTTCGACGAGAACTTGGAGTACCCCAGGTGGGTGTGGGTGTTACAAGGGATACCGACACCAAAACCTGATATCTATCCCCTTTATGATAGTAGGTGGAGGCAAAAGGGGGCAAGAAGATGGAGGATAAGGATATGGGCTACCTGATGACGCATGCTCGGGGGAGCAATGCGCAGTACACCAAGGATCCACAATGTGATGAAAAGGACTGGAATGGACAATGCAAGATCAGCGCAGCATCAACAAGCAATTGTACATTCCGATACATACAAGATGGCATGAAATGGCACAGCGGAATATTTGAAAGAGAGGATCTGATCTGATTGGGACTGACCCGACATCCATCACACATCACACATGGGCAAGAGAGGAGGGACCGCAATCATGGAAGGAAGGTCCCTCCCTCGTACACACACATGGGGAGAAACCACGGATGAGAGATGGGGGAGGGACAGACGAAAGAGGGAGGCTGCGCCATGCTGCGCTAGGTAGAGGAGTAGGAGTAGCGATTAGAGGAGATAGGAGAGGGCGGAGGCCATACCTGCAGTCGGCGAGCTTACCTGGCGCCAAAGCTGGGCTCCACGCGGTACCTGCACACAGCAACGAACGAAGTCAGTTCGAGTGACAGCTACCTGCAGGTGAGATAGCGAGGAGGACTCTCCCTCCTCCATCTCTCTCTCTCTCTCTCTCTCTCTCTCTCTCTCTCTCTCTCTCTCTCTCTCTCTCTCTCTCTCTCTCTCTCTCTCTCTNCGACGAAAACAACACTTAACCTAACCACCCTTACTCTCTCTCTCTCTCTCTCTCTCTCTCTCTCTCTCTCTCTCTCTCTCTCTCTCTCTCTCTCTCTCTCTCTTCTCCCTCCTTCCTCCCCTTTCTCATCATCTTCTTCTTTGAATCTGAGAGTGTGAGAGGTCGTCAGTAGGGATTCAGGCTGGGGTTGTAACGGGCGCACTGCCCAGGATCTGATTCGACACTTCTGAGACAGACATTGTTTGGACATTCGGCAAGAGACTATTTTGGACTTCGTCATCATGATCTTGGTCTACTCTCTCGCCTCCTCCCTCTTTCGTCTGTCCCTCCCCCATCTCTTATCCGTGGTTTCTCCCCATGTGTGTGTACGAAGGAGGGACCTTCCTTCCATGATTGCGGTCCCTCCTCTCTCGCCCATGTGTGATGTGTGATGGATGTCGGGTCAGTCCCGATCAGATCAGATCCTCTCTTTCAAATATTCCGCTGTGCCATTTCATGCCATCTTGTATGTATCGGAATGTACAATTGCTTGTTGATGCTGCGCTGATCTTGCATTGTCCATTTGTCCTTTTCATCACATTGTGGATCCTTGGTGTACTGCGCATTGCTCCCCCGAGCATGCGTCAGTTTTGGTATCGGAGCTGCAGATGTGAATCAGGACGAACCTGATCTGACGCGCGCACAGGGACCACCCAAGATCGATTGGGTGAAGTATCGATTGATTGATTGATTGATTGATTGATTGATTGATTGATTGATTGATTGATCGATTGATTGATTGATTGATTGATTGATTGATCGATTGATTGATTGATTGATTGATTGATTAGGKYATACTAATTAGTCCCCAAATCGCGAAACTTGGACCCAACCGCCCAAATCGAAATTTTTTGCTGTTTTGGATTCGTTTTCCCGCCATTTAACAATAGCGGAGCATCTGAAGGTTCGTTTCTCTTTTCTTGGAAACCGAAACTTCGTCACTAAAGATCCAAAATACTGCGATTTTCCATTATTTATTCCGCGATTTTTTTTTTAATCCGATATTTCGAAAAAAGAAAAATCTTGCTGAAATTCGAAATTTCGCGGCAGAGAAGTCCGGATTTTTTTTTGAAAAGCTCAATTTTATCCCGTTATGAAAATTCCCGTTATTCCGAATTTTTTTTTTGAAATTCGAAAATCTTTTTTGAACCTTGTTTTTTTCGGAAAATCTTTTCAGAAATTCGTTTTTCAATTTTCTGAAATTCGTTTTTCACTTCTGAAATTCGTTTTTCACTTCTGAAATCCGTTTTTCATTTCCGGAATTATGTCTGAAATTGTTGAAATTTGATCTTCAATTTCGAAAATTATTTCCATTTCGAAAATTATTTCTGAAATTCGATTTTCAAATTTCGAAAGGTATTTCTGAAATTCGTTTTTCAATTCCGAAATTATTTCTTTCCGAATTTTTTTTTTCAAATTCGAAAATTTTCTGAAAATTCGTTTTTCAATTTCAAAAATTCCGATTTTTTTTTCTGACGTTCGTTTTTATTTTCGGGGATTCCTCTTGCAAACGTTCGTTTTCAAACTGCGTACACTCTCACTTCACATACTCCGATTTTTTTTTCGGAAATTCCTGGGCTTGTGGAATCGCATCTTTTTCGCAAGTGCAGCACTTCCGTTATCTCCATTTGACGCTTTGATCCATTGGCAGCCTAAATTTCGAAATTTTCTTTTTTTTCAAACTGACTGCTGAGGGGATATTTCGGGGGTCCACCGAACTTGCAAATTCACTGCAAGTTCCCAATTTTTTTTCTTGATTACTGCTCGGTGACCCACCTTCATTGCCCGCCCCCTTTCTCTCCACCCCAACCCTTCAACCCTTCTCCGTCCTTCTTACCTGCCCATTCACCTGCAGTTGCAGGCCAGGTAAGTCCTCACTTCAGCAGGCCACGTCCGGGACCCGCCGCGCATGACCATACTTACTCGCTCGCAGACAGCAACGATGGATCAGAAGGCAGGCGAGACCGACGAGGCCTATGAGGCACGGCTGGCGGCCATCCTGGCTGACACCAAGCAACAGGCGGACGCAGCGGCAGCAGCACGGAAGAAGAAAGAAGCAGAGGCAGAGAGACTACGACTTCTGGCTGAAGAACAACGACAGAAGCACGAGGCAGCAGCAGCCAGGGCCGATGATGAGGAACGCGTACGGCGACGGGAGATCATCTTCAGGGAGGAAAGTGCATTACACGCACAGGCCAAGGATTGGCAGAAGGAGGCCGAGAACGGCGACCCCGTTGACGTCGGCAGCAGAGTATCTCAGCTGCTCAACCGTGTCACGGACCTCCTCGCGACTTGCATCGCACAGCAGGAGGACATCTACTCCCTCGACCACGCTAACAAGGCGCTGCAACAGTCATCGGACCGGATGCTCAAGCGCATTCAGCAGCTGGAGCAGCAAGTCGCTAATGCCAATGCCAACGTCGGCCCCTCCGACCTCGTCGACCGCGTCAACGGCTTGGAGATCGACGTGGGGACACTCAAGGCCGGGGCGCAACAGCACGTCTGTGCTGCAGCCAGCTCCAGCACGGCGCCACGCGAGACCATTGTCAAGTTTGACGGGCTCCCGATCTTCTGTGACGCATCGAAGACGGACCCCATACAATGGTGGCGCCAGTTCGAACTCAAGCTGGACCTCCACCATGTCGCCAACAAGAACCGGCACGCCTATCTGTACTCCTGCTCGGGAGGCGCGTGTCAAGCATGGCTGGACAACATGCTGTCCGCCCATGCATGTACAGTCACCGATTTGCACAAGTACATCACCTGGGCAGATCTGACGGCGGCATGGAAGAAGCGTTTCCAAGTTGAACCGCCCGAGCACAAGGCGATGGACAAACTGTTGACGTTTTTGCAGAACAGCATGCCAAGCGGAGACTGGATTTCCGAGTTCCAACGCCTCGCAAGCACGCCCAAGCTGCTGCTGAACTTCGACGGCATCAAGCTCTATTTCATCAAGAGGTCGTGCCCGGCGTTGCAGAATGCGTTGACTCATGTCGCCGACACCCTCACTACAAGTGAGGAACTCTTCAACAAGGCCGCGCAGATCATTGTGACGAACTTGGCAGCCCGGAATACGGGCCCCTCGTCAAATGCCGGCCAGGGCGCGCACCAGCATCGGCCTAAAGTGGTCGTGGTCGCAGCGGCAACGACTAGCGACCCTTCTACTTCCAACGAGGCTGTTTCGTCTGACGAGGGAGACAGACTCGCAGCCGCCCAGAATGGTGGCCGCCCCGCCAAAGGACGAGGACGCTGCAAGCCGAAGACCAACACCAATACTTCTTCTGGGCCCGGGCAAGCAGCTCCAGCTCAAGGACCTTGGACAGCGTACGGGCTGACGGAGCGCGGGTATCGCGTCCGCACCAAGTACCGTTATTGTTTGTGGTGCAATTGCGCGGCCCATGAGACCGCAAACTGCCCCACAAAAGCCAAGGCCCCCGCTCAGTCGGGAAAGTGAGCACCGCCGAGAGTGTTGCGACGGCACTCTCGACGCCTTCGGAACCGGTTGCCGGTCGGGTAACCTCCCTCGGTTCCGGGGCACATGCTGACGTCGTAAGTCCTATTCTTCATTCTTTCGAGGACTATGCTGCCCGGCTCGTACCTTCGCTGGATTCACGAGCCCAAGGACAGGATGTATGTGCGGTCTCTTCTCCGATCGGAAGCAGCAGCATTGATTCGTCTTCAAGTGGACCTTCACGGGATTCGGTGCGCGTGTTCAACACTGACGGTTTGGACCCGTTGACGCCCGAGGCTTTTGCATGGCTTCCTCTCCCTTCCACCGGCTGCTTACCGGAGCCACAATGCGCAGCTCTTCGTGCTCATTTGCATACATACCTAGCCTTCTATGCACCACCAACTTTGCCTACGGAGGACGAGGTCGCGGTGGGGGACATTCTTGCGTATGTGAGCAAGGTGGGCCGCGAGTTTCGCACGCAGTGGTACGACGACAACAACGCACCGCTCCTTTATGTCCGCATCCAAATCGGGCAAGCGTCCTGCAACGCTTTGCTGGATAGCGGCGCGACTCGCAACTTCATTAGCCAGTCCTTCATGCAAAGGGCCGGCCTTGGACCACAAGTTCGAAGGAAGGCACACCCTACGACGATCAAGTTGGCGGATGGTCAAACGCAACAACTCCTTGATCGCTACATCGAAGTCGTCCCAGTTTATTTCGCACCTTATGCATGCGAACCGGTGACGTTCGACGTCTTGGACACGAACTTCGACATCATTTTGGGTATGCCTTGGCTTGCAAGTGCGGATCACACGGTCAACTTCCACCGGCAGACACTTACGGTTCGCGACGCGTTCGGCGCCGAAGTACCATGTATGGTTCCTCCTCTGCACTCTTCGATCCGGTGCCAAGTTGTAACCGCCAAGTCTTTTCGGGCCACTTGTGCTTACGAGCGGTGCGGTTGCTCGACGAATTTGTCGACGTCTTCGAGTCACCTACCGGCGTGGTGCCGGATCGACCAATCTCACACGAGATCATTCTTGAGGCCGGTGCCATGCCGCCGAAAGGTTGCATTTACCGCATGATCAAGGAGGAACTTACAGTACTCCGCGCGCAGCTCGACGACTTGTTGGACAAAGGCTGGATCCGGCCTAGTAGCTCACCCTATGGTGCGCCGATTCTCTTCGTTCGGAAGAAGAACAAGGATCTTTGCCTATGCATCGATTACCGCAAGTTCAATGCGCAAACCGTTAAGAACGCGGGACCCCTTCCTCGTATTGACGACCTTCTGGAACGCTTGGGCGGTGCAAAATTCTTCTCTAAGCTGGATTTGAAGTCATCAAATCTCGATTCGGGCGCAAGATCGCTACAAGACCGCGTTCAAGACACGGTACGGGCACTTCGAGTGGGTTGTTATGCCTTTTGGACTCACCAACGCCCCGACGACTTTTCAAGCGGCAATGACCAACGAGTTCCGCGCAATGTTGGACCGGTTCGTGCTGGTCTACTTGGATGACATCCTCGTCTATAGCCGGACCTTGGAGGAACATCTTGACCATCTTCGACGAGTGTTGGAGACGCTCCGGCACGCCAAGTTCAAAGCCAACCGCGACAAGTGCGAGTTCGTGCGTCAAGAGTTGGAATACTTGGGCCACTTCGTCACTCCACAAGGCATCAGTCCGTTGTCGGACAAGATTCAARCCGTCCAAGATTGGYCGGAGCCRCGGAACGTCACGGATGTCCGATCATTCCTTGGCCTCGCCGGCTACCACCAACGCTTCATCAAAGGCTACTCGAAGATCGCGGCTCACTTAACCAAGCTTCAATGCGAGGACGGCCGTTTGACTTCGGGACGGACGCGCGGGAATCATTCTTGGCCCTCAAGGCCGCATTGCTTTCCGCGAAGGTATTGCGGATATACGACCCACTATTGCCAACGCGCGTCACCACGGATGCGTCCGGCTATGGCATTGGTGCCGTCCTCGAGCAACATGATGGCGTGGATTGGCACCCGGCCGAATACTTCAACATGAAAGTGCCGGCCGTGCACTCCATCGACGATGCACGCAAGAAGGAACTTCTCGCCTTCGTCCACACACTCAAGCGATGGCGGCACTTCCTCCTCGGTCGACGCCAGTTCCGATGGGTAACGGACAACAATCCGTTGGTGTTCTACAAGTCGCAAGACACCGTCAACAACACCATTGCCCGTTGGATGGCCTTCATCGACCAGTTCGACTTCTTTCCCGACCACATTCCGGGGAAGTCGAACCGCTTTGCAGATGCCCTTTCGCGGCGTCCGGACCACTGCACCGCGGTCTACTCAACCTTCGAGATCGAGGACGACTTGCGGGACAGCTTCATCCGCGGCTATCAAGCCGACCCCGAGTTTCGCGACAAGTACGCAAACTGTTCCTCTCCCAATCCGGCGCCTTCGCACTATCGGATCCAAGAGGGATACTTGCTTCTTCATTAGCGGGGGAAGGATCTTCTTTGTGTGCCGCAAGATTCACATTTGCGCACCCGGCTTCTTGGCGAGTTCCACGACGCCCCCGCCACCGGACACTTTGGAGTCAATCGCACGATTGGCCGACTACGCGAGCGCTTTTGGTGGCCCGGTCTCCTCGACGACGTCACGCGCTATTGCGAGTCATGCGAAGTTTGCCGACGTTGCAAACCTCGCAATCATCATCCTTATGGCGAACTGCGACCATTGCCGGTCCCCTTGCGCCGAAGGGAAGCGATTGCCATGGACATCACCGGGCCGTTCCCCAAGCACAAGACGGGCGTCGATGGGATTCTCACGGTGGTTGACCGCCTCACCAAGTTTGCCATGTTCTTGCCTTGCCGTTATCACGCCAAGGCACCGGAGTTGGCCGAGATTCTCTATGCCGGTTGGATTCGAACCAAGGGTTACCCCAAGGAGATCGTCTGCGGCCGCGACACTCAGTTCATGTCCGATTTTTGGTCGGCGCTCATCAAACGATGGGGCTCATCCCTCAAGCCAAGTTCGGCTCGTCACCCCCAAACCGATGGCCAAATGGAGAGGGCACATCAGACCGCACAGGTCCTCCTTCGAACTCTCATCCGTCCCGACCAGAAAGATTGGGTTGAGCAGCTGCCGGATGTCGAGTTGGCATACAACTCGTCCATCCATCCGGCTATCGGGATATCGCCCTTTGAGTTCGAGCATGGCTCGCCGGTCAACTCTCCGTTGGACACAATCCTTCCACGGACGGCCGAGAGCGACGACCACCTCCTTTTCATTCGTCGGATGCAAGAGCTTCTTGTCAAGGCACGTGACCAGATGGCAAAGACGCAGCAACGTATGCGCCAACAGGCCAACCGTCAGCGTCTTCCTTGTCCATTCCGCGTCGGCGACCTCGTATGGGTTTCCGCTGCAGAAATCAGCCTCGAACAAGACATCTCTCGCAAGCTCCTTCCGAAATGGGGCCCTGGCCGATCGAGGCACCCGCTGGGGACGCACCCAAAGGACCTTCGTTCGTCATTAAGGTGCCCGCCCACTTGCCCGTCAACCCGGTCTTTCACTGTTCCAAGTTGGCCCTCTACACGCCAGCAGAACTTGATGACTTTCCCGGGCGACGATCACAAGACCCACCCTCGATGGACGGTTTCCAAGAGGTTGGCGACATCATATCCCAGCGACGTTACGGCAACAGGCCGACTGAATTTTTGGTCCACTTCACATACTGCACCCATAAAGCTGACCGATGGCTGACTCGTGCGGAACTTCAGGCAACAACACCCGACGCTCTCGCACGCTACGAACAAAAGTTGAAAGGCAAGACGGCATCTTCGGCTCCACGACGCACACACGTCCAAGCGCCGCCTTCAGATCGTCAGCTTCGCCCCCGACCGGCTTGACTTCATAAGGAGGGGGGGGTGTTGCATGCTGAGCCTGCACACGGGCCCCATTTGAGGGGCCCGACGGTTGTTGAGGGGCCCCCAGGCCGTGTACTATCCAGCACGCGCCCTGAAGGCCCATGGCGGCCCTCCAGGCCCTAGACAGCACGTAGGTAGGTAGGTTTTTGTTTACTTACCCTTTTTTCTGTGTGTGTGTTGTCTTATTTTTGTCTGTTCAGGTGCTGTTTCGGACTTGCAGCCCCAAGGCCGGACCTTGGGACTAGATACACCTGAAGCAGGCCCGAAACGAGGCCAGGCGCATTTTGGCGCCAAACCGGCGACGTTTCGGTCCTGCCGGACCCAAGACAACGCCTTGGGCCAGGTGCACCAAGAGAAGGCCGTTTTTAGGCCAGGCGCACTTCTGCGCCACGCTGCAGCAGCAGCAAGGTCTGGACGTCCGGTAGGGACCCAGACCACCTGGGCCGTCTTAGGCCACACAGTACCAGGTAGGCCCAGCGGCCCAGCACTACATATAGCTGGGCAGCAGCTGGGCAGGGGACACTTCGAGTCGCTCACTTCTGAGCGACATGCTGCTAGTGGGAGGCTGCGCCATGCTGCGCTAGGTAGAGGGGTAGGAGTAGCGATTAGAGGAGATAGGAGAGGGCGGAGGCCATACCTGGAGTCGGCGAGCTTACCTGGCGCCATAGCTGGGCTCCACGCGGTACCTGCACACAACAACGAACGAAGTCAGTTCGAGTGACAGCTACCTGCAGGTGAGATAGCGAGGAGGACTCTCTCTCTCTCTCTCTCTCTCTCTCTCTCTCTCTCTCTC